GACGAGTAAATTACGTACATAAAGTGGATGTATTACATTGTTAAGGAACATATTGTGATCAGTTACGGAAAATAGAGTAATATTTTCTATCAACTTGGTATTATTTCACGTCCACGGAGAGCACTGCAACAGATTGTATTGTATAGCTTTATGAACATTGCATAACATTTAAGGTTTTTTAATTGTATATTTTAAAATTATCATAGCTTCCTTTACATTTGCTTTATTTGTATTAGATTAAGTTATAATGAAATAAATTTATCTTTATCTTTCCCAGCAGTGGGTGGAGTCAGACTGTGAATGCTGATGATCATCATTTTGTGATATTCTGTACCAGTTTACTTTAACTTGCATTGTATTACTACATTCAGATACCAATATCAACAGATATGTTTATTTAATATTCATGTAGTTATTTAAATTTCATTAAGTGTGTACATCTTCATTTTAATTACTTTCAACTCGATTAGCTTACAAAATAGTTATGGGTTATTTAAGCATAACTAATACACTCAATTAACATTAATATAGTCTCTAATCCAATAACAGAAAGATAAATTTTATTATACACGAACCATTAAGAAAATTATTAAATCGAAAAATTACAATTTAATTCAGAAATTATGAATAACTACATAATTTTAGAATTTGACGGAAATTACAGCATGTATCTTTAACTGAGCTGTATAGACGTTTAGTCAAAGTATTTGTTAACGCCGCCAGTAGCAACTATTAAGAAACGCCGTTAAAGTAGGTCATTTTTTACAATTTATAAGCGTTATTGTAATCATTAATAAAACTATCATTTTCATGCAAATGCAATACAAACACACGCCGAATGGCACGTAACTGACGGTAAAAACGGTACTTCAACACAGGACTACAATAGGATTTAAAAATATCAAGTTCGAAGTAAGTAGAGCACAAAAATAATATATACATTAAAGTGAAAGGGTGCCGAAACGAAACCATTATGTGGCGGATGAAACAATACTCGGGAAGCAGAGGCCCTACTTAAGAGCTTAGGAAAGCAATGTCCACTTGTTGTTCCACCTACGACTGTGTAAATAATAAGTAAAGCTTTCGAATACAAATTAATGACCGAAGCACAATAATTAACACAGTGAAAGAAAACACTTACCAAACTCGAGGACCTCTCCTATAAGCGTGCAACTGTCAGCCTCGCGATTCCATACTTAGTAAGCTCTGAAAGTTACAATCAAATTACATGAGAGTAAATTGATTTTCATAAAATATTTTTACGCGAACACCGAACGACCCTACGCTCGATCGACAGCCATAATCAACCATTAACAAGATAGACTTGCAATGCAAAGTTGTGAAGAAAAAATTTTTTTTTTATTGTGACATAAGAAAAATTCGGATACGCGTCGTAGGTGACATGTTTTAGGTGGCAATCTTTGCACATTTTCTGCCTTTTACTGTTATTTTCAGAGTGCCCAAAATAGACACGACATTACATGACTTCTTAGCGTACCTAATGTTAGTATAGTCTTCCTGTAAAAGTAAAGCGTATACATATTTGAAAAAACTGAAATTATAAATAAAAAGATAATTTATGGTTAACCCCCAAAACTTTATGTCAACAAATTTCAACAAAAATCTTTTCCAGTGGTTCTCTATAGTCTTGTTTGCATTTTAATTAATTAAATAAAAATAAAAATGCGTCTAACACTAATGTTAATGCGACGTAACCTCATGCCAAACGGTCATATATTCCGAGGCAAAGATCGCTTGGTGAAAAAGGTGGAATTGAAGCATTTACGTAAACTGGCAGGCGAATTTGCTATTGAAGAGCAAAATATGTTTTATTTACGTTATCCCTATCTTACTGAGGTATGTGTATAAGATCCTTGTCTCATTTAATTACCATGAATGATGACAGAATGTTGTTGGGTTTACCTAAAATAAAATAGGTAATATAATTTTTTAAATCGTTTGTGACAGGAAGAAAGCCAAGGTCATGCCAAAGCCTTGGGCAAGCCAGAGATGAGAAAAGAAGAAGTTACTAACAAACAAAGGAAGTATTTCAAAGCTGACGTCACATTATATGAAAGACTGGGACATCTTCGTGTGAATGAATCTTGGGATTAATCAAAATGAAGTCATTATAAAGCACGTTGAAACCAATAGCTCGTTACTCCTACCACCATACCTATTTCTGCTGCCGCGTCATGTGAGCATTACTGCATTCTGGTTTTGAAGGATAAGACACTGGTGAAATTATAAGCGCGTGAGACTTGTCAACTTATGTTGCAGGGTGAACTTACCACCAAGAGCACAACTCAGCCATCCCGTCACTTGGTATCATAAAAAGTCACTAAATGAAAAATTCGACTTTAATTTTTATTTAATTTAGTGGAAATTTTAATTTAGTGACTTTTTTGGTTTCAACATGCAATATATCAACCTAACCAAACAGAAAATCGATACTGCCACTTAGATATTTACAGCACTAAGGAGTCCTTAATATTGCAAATGCATTGTACAGCAGGCTGTAAGATTGTGTCTCTTGTGCCATTGATTTATGCTAGCTCCTCCCATTCTTAGAACTGTAATTGATTTGAAGGGTAAGGAACGATTGGAAGGCACATGGGACTTGTCAACTTGTTTCAGGGTGATGAGCACAGTGGCAGTGCCTCTCAGATCCTTGCGATGTAAAGCTTCTTGGTTGGCACTGCAATTATTATGGAAGACGTGATGCCACCAGGCGTCGCATACGTTTTATTTGTCCTGTTTGTGTTGATTTTCAGAAAAGAAAACTATTTTTCTGAAAGATTTCCAACATTTGAATTATTGGCAATTGACCAACACTAATCATGTATCAGCGAAAATGTCTCCTATAGGCGTCAATCTCCTTTAAAGGAGAGTATTAAGTTGGTTGTCTACACAACTTGCACCACTTTGTACCCTAGTGTGATACCTGTACAATACCTTTGAATGTCATGTATTTAGTTATAAATGTTATAATATAAAATTTGTTATTATATAGTAATTTTTGAATTATTTTTTCCTATGTCTAAAGACATTGCTTTTACAATACTTTTGACCGCCTTCAACACTATTTTGTGTATTCATTTAAAAAATGGCAATCCCATCAAAAACTTATTTAAAAAATAAAGCATGCATTCTAGTGAGATCACAAGTAGAGTCAAGAAGTTTGTATGCCTTATTCCAGAGTGACCATGGTCGAGTTTTTGAAATTTGAAAAAAAAGGAGTCAGTTCTAGTCGTAAAAAACTAGATTTAGTCGTTACGCCGTTTTGAAGTTATTAAGTTTTACTGTCCACGCTGAAATAAGCTTATTCCGGCGGCACCATTTTTGAATCTTGAGAACCACAACTCCTAGCTTACATCTGATTGCACCCAGAAAAAGTCGTGAATTAGTCGGTTCTAATCGCAAAATTTGGGAATTAGTCGCTCCTTTGTTTGGAAGTTATTATATATTCAATTACTTTCATTGATAGGTACATTTACGTAGAAAAATCGTACACATAACGAAAAATTAATATCTATACTCCGTCTAACCATTTAACTTTCGACTCGAATTCTAATCAATTAGTAATGTCTTAATGCGTTTCCGATTAGATTTTTTTATAACAATCGATTTTATTTATGAAGAAGCTTAAATCGTGAATGTAAGCGGGTTAAAAAAAAGACCGGGATCGTGATGTTGCGTTTGACAATTAGTCTACGTACTCAATAATTAATCATTAATGTTAATGATGATTCAAGTGATGATTCCCGTTCATATGGAGAACACACAACAAGAAGGTTACAACTAGAACCGAATAAATCACGACTTTTTTTAGTGTAATCAGATCTAAGATAGGTGTTGTGGTTCTCGAGATTGAGAAATGGTGCCCCTGGAATAAGCTTATTCCAGCGTGGACAGTAAAACACCCTTATAACTTTTGAACGACGGACCGACTAAATCTAGTTGTTTGCGACTAGAACCGACTAAATAGCGACTTTTTTCTGGCTAGTCAAATTTCCCAAACTCGACTATGGTCATGCTGGAATAAGGCGTGACCGTCAGAATGGCTAGTCGCCTGTCGCGTCTGGCACTGAGTGCATATTCAAAAATTGCTACCGATTTGCTACCTTTTCTAAATAATTGCTACCTTTGATATATTCTGAGAAATAAAAAAATAATTGACCACCCATTCTGACGTCAGGATAGCTGGTCGCCACTTTGTTCAGCATGAAGGGAGCAGATTTTGTAGAAGTATGTATTACCAATAATAATTGCTACCTTCACGAACTAAAGGTATACGCTTCTTATTTACATTAGTTAAAAAAATATAACTAATGATGAAAGAGTCTTTTAAGGCCTTTTAAAAAACCTCAACTAAATTTTACCCTCAAGTCTTGAGTCATAAGAAGACTAAAACCAAAGACTAATTCGTATCGAAGTTTTTTAACCCTAGGAAGCTTAAAAGCTTGTAGGACTAAAACGACTGGCGCTTTATAGCCTCGGGAGTCGCGAGTCATGAGCCGCATGGCGTGATTTTATTTCTACCCACAAGAGATTTATTTAATGATTGATGGATAACGTTAACGCAGCTTTGTTCACAGAAGTCAGTTAATTAGATAGAACCAATTCAAGAATTTGTTTTTTTGGGGATTTATTTCTTTCTTTAATATAAAACTGAATGGATACAGAACCCAACAGTCAAAATATTTTATCAAATTTTAGTGTCTGATACAGTCGTTTGACCATAATGATGAATGAAACATACTATTTATGAACGTATTAAGTGGAGGTCCAGTCTCTGCCTACCCCTGAATGGGTGACAGGCGAGATTTTTATGTATATGTTTGTTCTATGTATTACAGATAAATTGTGTCTCACTGCTGTGCACGGGTTTCTAAAGAAGTTTAAACAAAAGTACCAGGACTTCATAATAAGAAAAGTGGTTACAGACCAATATTACACAAAATAGAAAAAGAGCACGTTAGAACTGGACTTCCATAGACTTTTAAATATTGGTTGTATTTCATTATTTTAATTTACTCACAGAAAAAGTATTGTACATGCAATCATTATATAATTAGGTCTTAAAATGTCGTACCTATTGCTTAAATCACTCTTTGAATCCTAATTTTTATTATAAGTAAATAAACTACATACTACATCATTTCTATTTATAAACTTCGGATTTAATGAGACATAAAATAGGTATAAGAACTTTGCAAACAACTCGAGTCGTTTAAGTCTTTTAGTATAACGACTGAGTCTTATTAATAAAAAGTCGAACCTCCAGTCTTAATTTTAGAGTCGAGTCCTGTAAAATGGAGTCGAGTCGTTATAAAACTCCGTAAAAGACGTGAGTCTCTTTCATCGCTAAATAAAACCGATTGAAAATTTTACGAAGAAGTGCTTGACTAAATTAAAAAAAGCAAAAGTTTTAGTGCTTTATTGCCATAATACAAAGGGCAGGCGTTGGTATTTCTCAGTAAAATTTTTAATTGTTTATATTTTTTTAACTAATGTAGATAGGAAGCGTATACCTTTAAGTCGTGAAGGTAGCAAATAGGTAGCAATCATCGGTAATACTTACTTCTGGAAAATCTGCTCCCTTCATGCTGAACAAAGTGGCGACCAGCCATCCTGACGTCAGAATGGCTGGTCAATTTTTTAATATATATATAACAGAATATATCAAAGGTAACAATTATTTCGAAAAGGTAGCAAATAGATAGCAATTCTTGAATATACACTCAGTGTCAGATGCGACAGGCGACCAGCCATCCTGGCGGTCACGAATAAGGCACACAAGATGTTTTAATACACATAACTTGTTCCATCCTCTAAAACACAACTCCCCATTTCTATTTATTCATAAATAATGTAAACATAATGTGACAGATAACCACCATATAGGAAATATCTATGATAACTACAGATACAGATAACCATACTAACCACATTACAGTCTCAGGGTCGTATTCCAGAACTCTACTCAGCAGATTTGAGCAGACTTGAGTATGATTTCAAGCACTGGAAATACGACTCTAAGGGCAAGGACTTGAGTATGATTTCCATGCTTTAAATCATACTCAAGGCCTGACTTGAGTATTGAGTAGAGTTCTGGAATACGACTCTCAAATCTCAAACTAAGCAATTCCCTGTACATACTACGAGTATGTACCAGGTCAAGGGAATTCACTCCAGTGTACTACCCAGAACACTCGACCAAGACCAATTTAGAAGATCTTTTCCCAAATTGATCCTACCGGGTATTGGACCCAGGAGATCTTCATCCAACGCCCATATTGCAAACCGAGGTCGTCAAAGTTGAGTATTTGCTTTTTATAATATATCAAGTGATTTTGCCATACTACACTGTGATAAACTTTGATAAGATGACAAACTTTGTATAATACTTAGTTTATTACTTAAAACTCGACTTGTAGCACAAATTTATAACGCACACACTGAACATATTAGGAACCGCCCCGCATTAAGGAAACCCTGTGTCGCGGGTGCCATTGACATATACATAGACAACCACAAATTACACCCAAACTCACGAGAGAAATAAATGTAGGTTATACAAATATTTCTCCCGGCCCGGGAATTGAACCTGGGACATCCGATGGGTGAACGTTCGGCCACAGAGGCAGTTAAGATTACTTAACAGTTACTTCCAGGAACTTTTAGAAGGTCCACAGGTAGTGCTGGTGTTTGTGACAGTATACAGCAGCAACGGAATTCCTGATAGGTGATATTACTATTGTTTAAATAAATTTAAAACATTTGTTTCATAGAAAAACAGGCAAGATATTGTCATAAAATGACTTTATTTTTCAACAATATACAATCGCTTCAATAAATAAAACGTCAAGACGCCATAGTACCGTGTTTACATTCACTTTTTAATCATCACATAGATTTGTGTTTTAGACTATAACTAGACAAGAATATCATGTTATAATCACAGAAAAATTAAATGGCAAATATCACTAATTGATACATCTTTTGTTGTTGTTTAATTGATACATTGAATACGCATGATAGTCGCAACACGCGCGATAAAATTGAAATAAGCCCGCGCTATTGGCTAACTAAATTAGATCTGATGGTGACGGCCAATAACGCGTGCTTATTTCAAATTTATCGCGCGCGTCGCGACTAGGATGCGTAGCCATGCTACGGGGGCAGATATATTACTCACTGTAGGATTGCGTAAATGCAGAGTAAATTAGAGTACAATCTTATAATTGTAAGTCAATGACAATCTATAAGTAACTTGAATTATTCCCGCCAACTTTGTATTTTTTTTTGAGCATTGGCTATAGAGCCGTTAGCTTAAAAAGGTAACAAATAATTAAGAAACACAAAACGTAATGTACTTAAAATTAAAAATTAATTCGAGTAAAAACTAACTTCAAAAACCAGCCTTTTTTCACTGGTAGTAAGTAGTTATATCATCCTTAGGCACAGGCTAAGGCGTCTTTACTGCGATCTTGGATCTAATTATTTCTTCAATCATTTAATTTTCTGACTTTTTTGCAGGAAATACTTTTTTCGTTAATATTTTTGAACTCAACTATAGTAATTATTAAGTAAATACAAAGATTGAACACAAAGAAAAATTCTATCGACCCGGCAGGACTCGAACCTGCAACCACGAGATTCCGTCCCCATCACTCTTCCAACTGAAGCTCTTTCATCTGTGATATTATTCACTATTTAAAAAAATGGTTAAATTTATAGCAAAATTCAAAGAAAATAATATAGTAAAATTGTTTTCATTTTCTAACTCGATTGTGCAATACGAGGAATGTAGTGGGATTGTATTTTCATATTTTTTTGCAACTTCATTTGGGAGACGATTTTGCCAGAATCGGGTTTAATTATATGGATAACATATCCGCAAAGAACAGCGAGGTGTCGTCGCAGCCATGGCTTTCACATTATATTACAATAAAAACCAGTCAATTGATAATATCGACTCATCCGAAGAACAGAGTCTGATGTGATTATACAACGAAAATAAGGCAAATACATAAACTCGTTATTTAAAATAGGGCCCATTGAAAACCAGCGTCACAACCTAGCCTTGGTTGTGACTTTAGCTGAATGGGATCCTTTTGTACACGCCACAGCCGCACACATGTCAGTATAGTATTATGCAACTTGTTGTTGAAATGTTTTTACGCTGTTCTTTGTGTTATTTCTGTTTTAGTTATATTAGTCTTTGTTTTTGTGTTTTTTTTTTATAATGTGGCGTTACAATAAACGGTTAAAAAAAATAATAATAAGGCCTATCTATAGCTGTTTTCATAATTTTTATAACTTATTTCGTTTCGGACATATAAAATCGAACACCGGTCGATCTGATATCCACAGCGAAGAACAACGAACGAAATGTAGAATGTTCTGAGAATAAGCAGTCTTGCACATAGGCCTTTGTTCTACGGATGAGTCGATATAAACAACAAATATCACTAGACAATTATAATCCTCCCGCAAAATGACATTAACATATCAGATATCAGTCCATGATTTCTCACAAAAAACTGAATATTTGACGAAACAAACTGTGAATCTATAAAATAGCACTGCTACAATAAACTTTAGCAATGAATTTTTTATGTAGAAATCTTTTGTAAAAAATTAGAAATCGATGAAGGTTGACAATGTAGATGGCTGGAATAGTCCATCATAACTCGGGAAAAGTGGTGGTGGTGGTGGTGGTGGTCCAACCGCGCGTTTTCATACTTTCACACAAATTTTGAAAAATATACTTTACGTAACAAACACTACTTGAAGTTGAGAACTACTTGAGTCCAGAAGCTGTGGAGCCATTCAGATCGCGATACTCTTTAGCCGTACAAGATTATTCAAGTTCGTACTCTAGCGTGAAAACTTCCGTAAACAGGATGCGTATGCAATTATACATACCTACGAGATTTATATGTCGCACCACTTGTACACAAATCTACTCGAAGAGGAAAAAATGTTTTATGCTATAATAATATGACAAATACATAAATATAAGCTTGTATACATTTGTAAACTTGAGTATAAAGCATTAAAATGCATCTTATAGGCTAGTATTATTCTTAAAAGACGTTTTTTTAATACCTACAAAAAATACAAAGTAGGCAAGTCACCTACATGCTGTTTTTCATGAAAATGGTCCAGATCAATATAGTACATTTTTACTTCATACACAGCTGTATTCAGAATGTGCTAAATTTTATTGCGAATAAGGCACCAAGCTTTCCATAGGATATAATGATCACGTGACATCATTTGTTATATTTGTACTTCGTTTCGACGAAAATGAACTTCCTATTTAATTAGGTGTTTATGAGATAGGCTGCATTCTAGAACTACTTTCTTGCTTACATTGAATTTTAAAAATACACTATTACAAATCATATGAGATAATACCTCAACGTGTGACGATAACTGTATCACAAAAAAAAACTTGTTCTAACAACGACAATAAATATTATCGAATACTATTTTCTTACCAATAAAAATTAAAGTTACGGTAGTATATTGTCTCCAACTACAAATAGTTATAATAATACTTATAGATCAATAAATACTGAGATTATACTTTAGTTGTTATTCTTTGTCCACGCAAAACGGTCGTTGTTAAGATCCTTCTTATATAGCGATTTGCCTTGATAAACGTATTCAGCAAATTGAGACACGACGGGATCCCTCATACATGACGCTACGCCGATCACCTTGTCGGAAGCATCGAAGAAGAAAATCACGAATTTCAGCTCATCGACATCGCCATCGATTAAGGTGCTTGCTGATGTACCTGTGCCAGCATATCGGATGGATTTACCAAACAACATAGTCCAAAAATATGGAACTGTTCGCAGAGGAGTATCTTTAGTCATTATGTTAAGAGCTGCTATGCGGCCATGGTACTGCGACAAACCAACGTGGCCTATACTCGTTTTCACATTACCAGCGGCAAAGACTGGAGCTTTTGCAATGTCACCACCCGCATAAATATTCTTTATGTTTGTCTCCAGCTTCTCATTAACGTCAATCGCACCGTTAGATTCCATTGCAATACCGCTATCTCTCAAAAAATCCGTATAGAAGGTTGTTCCCACGCCCAAAATGAGTATATCAGCTGGTAATGCGGTTCCGTTTGCCAACTCTACTGATTTTATCACGCCATTCTCGCCATTGCATTTCGCAATAGACGTTTGGAACTGAAATTGGACTCCTTTACTTTCGAACAGTTTCTGAAGGCTCTGACCTATTTCGTTTCCGAAAATTCTGCCAAGAGGCGCCGTGTCGTTACCGACCACAGTCATAGATTTCGCTTTATCGTTGCAAGACGAGGCTGCTTCTAAACCAATGAAACTGAGACCCAGAACAACAACATCCTGATCTTTATTTTCTCCCAATGTCGTTAGAATATTCATAGAATCGTCGAAGTTTCTCACAGTGAACACATTTTTCAGATTTATGCCAGGGATATCAGGAACTCGAGGCTTAGAACCTGTGGCTAAGTAAAGCGCGCTGTATTTCAATGAAGAACCATTGCTGAGCTGGACTGTGTTTTCTTTGGGTTCAACTTTAGTCGCTTCAACGCCTTTAAGAATTTCTATCTTGGCGTCTTTGTAGTAATCGTTGGAGCGGGCTTGGAGTTTTTCGATATCTGTTGAAGTACCTATTTTAGAGACTTTAGGTCTGTCGTAGGGCAGATAATTTTCCTTACAGACAAGAACGACGCGTCCGGAGTAGCCTTCTGCGCGGAGTGTTTCAGCACAAGTGGCCCCGGATGGTCCCCCGCCCACAATCACTACACAGTTGTCATCAGATAATGAGATGGCTGGATTTGTCTCCTTAATCCTCTTATTTGCCTTTAGGTCGCTGATCTTTGCGCGAACCTGAAATAAAGAAAAAAATCTATATTAAATACAGATAGTTTTCATCAAATAGTTTTCAATAGCTGTAACACTTATTCAAGAAATGCTTAGGCACGCTCAGCCACATGTAAAGTTACGGATATACCTAACATAGGGACCCTACGTAGGGTACAATTTTGAAAAAAAAAAAAACATATTAATATTTATATTGTATCTTCGGATGTGTTTCATTTACAAACTCGACATCTTAAGAGACTCGGCTAACAGGCAAACAAAAGTGAACACATATTGCACGTTATTATTTCACTTATTAGTATACGACTTTGCTAAAGTACAAAGTGAAAAACGCAATAAACTTCATGATCTAATACGAAGCAAGTGTTCGGCCTTGTGTTGACATTGAGTCATCTTGATCAGACCGAATGTCTAGAGCGAATCGGTTGTCGGTCAAGGTGCGACAAGGTTGCACTGGTGAGCAAGTAAGTAAGGTGTTAATTTTATCTCGTTGAATTTATTAAACATAGTTGGATATTAGTTCCAGTTTAATGGACAAGTCCTATAACCTCACCTTCGTAATGAATAGTCTTGCGGCGTGGAAATGAAAGGTTGTTAGATTTTGAAGGTGCTCTTCTTTTACGGAGGAGTTCCTTTGTTTTATGTTTTATTTTTTATTACTTTATTAGATAGTCTGTTCCTTTAGCAGACTTCAATATGAAAGCAGGACTAGAGTTTCTGTAATTTCGTTTAGTAATAAAACTTTGTTGTGTACGGGATTGAAAGGTGCGGAGAGTCAGTGAAAATTACAGGCACAGGAGATCTCCACGATATTATGGCTCGACTTATGTTGCGGCGGAACAGTATGGAAGCGAATTTTTGTAACGATATTGTACATAGCATAATGAACTTTATGGTCAATTGTGTAACGTGTTTGCGCTGAAATCACAAATTAGAAAACTGAAATAGTACAGCGCCAACAAGTGACATGTATGTACGTCTACGTATATTCCAAAAATATTCTGTGTTTATTGTAATAAAGATAATATCTCTAATAATGCGGGCTGTTCCATTCGGTGGTGTGGGAAAAACAGCAAAACATCTAATTACAAAACAAACGGAATCACATTTAATTGGTAATTAAAATATTAAACATGTATTTTTTCAATTTTCGTCCATTATAGCAAAGCTCAAATTAAACTGGTCGATTTGAAGTGAAACAATTGACGACTCTCGTCAAATGTTTCGAATTCGGGCTGGCCAATCGGAGTGCAGTTGTCACAGTAATGATTTGGCAAAATAGTTTTCAAACAAATTAAATGACATTTCGTCTCTATTTCTGGTAACTTACTCGGTGTGGAGGGTATACCTGAGGCGAAAAAGAACAATCATGGACAAACAACAAACTAGACCCTTACAATATTAGAGCGGATAAAATACCAAAGAGTTTTGAAAGTTACGCACCGTTTTCCGTTCGCGGTGTTGAAAGAGTGTTTCTTTTTGTACCCGTTGGTAACTAATACGTAAATAGTATCCCTAAATTAATGGTGAATTGTTCGCAATGAGAAGTTTAGTTAGCTAATCTTTCCCAAGTTAGTTAAATTGCAAATGAACAAGGATCTTCGCTGTCCAAAATAACCTTGAAAGGCCCCTTAAGCGCAATTTTTTCAATGTAAAAGGTTTTTCTTCTAAATCGTCATTTTAGTTAAATTATTCTAAATTTAAGTATAAAAAAACTTCGTAAAAACCTGAGAAAGGTGTTTAAAGTTATTCAATTAAGTTGACGACAGTGCGTACTCAATATATAGGAAGTGGAAGCACTAATCAAACTCAATGACATTCAGTGGACACGACTTGGAAAACAATATATTAAATAGCAAAAGAAAAATTCACCAACATTTAACTGTATGGCTTTTATGGTTTTTTTAGCCCTTGTCTTTTCCTTAACAGAAAGAGTTTAAAAAACAACAACATTATAAATTATAATTAATAATAAAATCGTGTGTTGGCAGTGTTCTGACAAGAGCAGTGTTACTGGTGTTGTTAATTCATTTAAATAACACTGTACATGTATAATTAATATAACCGTGTAATGTATGGAATTTATAACCGTTTCTATTATATAATATTTTTTATTCAATGTCTGATATATAACCATTTACGGGAAATATGAAATGAAGAAGTTTACAAGGGGTTACGTGCAATAAAGAACAGAACCGGAAATATTTGGACATTTGTTACGTAATGACGAATACGTGAGAGTTAATACGGGGATGATAGAAGGAAAAAGAAAAAGGAAGACCAAAAATGGTATAGGTACATTGAACAAACAAAGAAGAACGTTACAGTAAGCCGCTAGAGAGATCATGAAACTGGAACAAGAAACAAGAAAATGAACCGAGACGAGTGGAGGAGGCTACACCGACAGGAGCTTCTCTTAAATAGGACGATGACGGCAAATATATAACAATTGAAAGCAGTTAATAAACGTGCATAAGCATATAACATAACTCAGCCTGTACTTGAAAACATATGTCCAAGCAAGCACCCTGGTATTCTATGAATAATGGATGATGTAAGCATACATTTACGTACATGACTAACTATAGGTATAGACTACCCTGAAGTATATCGAATTTCAGAGATATTTTCTACACTTGTTAAATAGAATAACTAGGTACATATTTAAACCAATAAAAACAATTGTACCATAAACAGAAGTATAACATTAGGCCGAGGACTCCTGGTTTCTAAATAACGATATTATATTGAAACAGGGGAGTGCTGACATCTGCATCCGCAACTGTGGATAATCCGCTTATTTTAAAATTTCTGTTTCGGCATCAGACAAACTTTTTTATAGTATACTTAAATATGAGTAATCCAATGCCATTTACGAATTTCCACTTATATGAAACAATTTAAAGTCCTTAGCAAGCCAAAAAGAGATTATAGGAGAAAACAAAGAATACAGTTATACAAAAAAAAGAACAAAAATAATAGACAATTACACAAAAACCAGTGTAATCATGGCCTGTACAAAACAAACCAAATTCAGAGTGGTTTACTGAGGCTATGCACGCACCGTGTACGTAATTTGTGTGTGTGTGTGTGTGTGTGTGTGTGTGTGTGTGTGTGTGTGTGTGCGTGCGTGTGTGTATATGCACGCGTGTACGAAATATTTGTATGGCCTACATTTATTTCTCTCGTGAGTTTGGGTGTAATTTGGTTGTCTATATGTGTGTCCATGGCACCCACGACGCAGGGTTTCCCTAGTGCTATGTTGAGTGTGTGCGTTATTATAATCCTTACCTAATGAATTTGATGGGAGCACGATACTCTGAGAAGGCGCTCTTCTCAACCGACCGCAGACTACCCTCAACTCCTCAACTATACTTATAATTGAACTATCGTCTTGTTAGCTTGACGACTTTATTGAACTTCTTAAGTACAGTAATTTGTATCGGGGCTTTTAAGTTGAAATTTCACTTTCTTGTTATTGGCTGTGACTTCTCCAATAAATTCAAACATTGGAAGATCACAACAATTGAATAACTAACGCAGTTAATAATTTTTGGAGTAAAATAAGATGAATTATGACAAATTCTGCATAAAGTCACCAATGTGACATTTCTATGATTAATTGTAAATAATAACTTGAATTGGAAGCAGCAAATGGAGGATGAGTATTAAACTTAAAAGTTATGCTGTTGCTCTTTACAAATTGACAAGAGCCACCAATAAATACGCAACCGTTACATATTACTCGTATTTTGATGATGATTTATGATTTGATGATTTACGAAAGTTTTTATTGCCCAAAAGAGGTTTTTTTTTATAATATCTGGTGGCGGGACGAACAAGTCGTGCGCCTGATAGTAAGCTACACGGATGTCCGTAACAGTTGTAGTACCACTCAGAGCTATGAATTGCAAAAATAGGTAAGGTGGCAGGACTTCCCTGGACGAACTCTTTCACAAGGAGCTCTATTGCCACTAAAAGGTGTATGCGAGCCACCTGCAATTTAGTGCCAGATAAATCATGTCGTCCCCATTTCAAAACACTAAAATTATTACCCCTACCTTGTCTATACATACTCGATGTTGGTGTATTTGTAAGGATAAGTCAATAAAAATTTATACAGGCGAAGGACGCTGCTAGAAGACTAAGAAACCTAAACAGAATAAAGTATAGATGTGACACTGGGCATTTGTCATGAGACAAATAACTTCTAACGGAACTATTATGCATAGAGTGGAATTTTTAAAAATAAAGTACCGAATCGGTTCCAAATGATTTGGTCAGTTTAAAAAAAAACTGCGCAAATGGTCTTGGAACATTTATTATTTTCGGTTGACGATTGTTTTCAAATATTCATTTATTATTCAAAACTAACGTTTTTGCAAACTACTGAAAATCAGGTTATTTAACACAATTGTTTTTTTGGTTATAAATAATTTAACAAATTTATATACATAGATATTTTAATCAAATCTTCTCTAGAAAGATATCTTTGATCTTTGGACATTTTTGATGAGTGTATTACACACAAATCAGTACAAATGGCGGGCTTAATGCCATTAAGCTTACTCCATCAGCCAGCCAGAGAGCTGGGTTTAGAAAAATTAACAAGTGGTGTATGACATGACATGCTAAATTAAAAACACTATTATAACGACTGATTGATCCCAAATCGATGAATATATTATTACTCTTGAAATTATTGTAGGTACATCTTATTTCAGATGATTAAATTTCTTAATATATAGAATTAAGTTCTGTAATGTAAGAATTACGTATGTTATAATATATACGTAGTACGTTTTTGTGAAGTTTGTTTAAGAAAGTATTCGGTTCAATTTGCACATCGTTTAGCTGCTTTGTGCACCATTAACTGCCCTTCACCTAAAACTCCGTAATAATTTGTAAGGTTGCCTGGAAGAGATCGCTGTCTAGAGATAAGGCCGCCGATTGTACGTTTAACTACGTTCTTTTTTGTACTGTCACTGTCTATTATTTTGTGTGCA